GCAGTATAATTATGGAATCAAATAATATAACCACGATTCAATGTTTTTAATTCAATCTATACCTATTTTTAGACTTATCAATTTATTTTAATATAATATAAATTTGTCGTAAAAATGAGACTAGGACTTTACAATACTCATGGTATCAATATTAATAGTATAAATGCTAAATAAAATTTAATTATTTGGATTATACACTTTTTTATATACATATAAATAAATCGCATATTTGAACTTTAAATTTTTTTATTTTTTTCACATATAGTTATGCAATATATTCAACTTAACTAAAAGTAAAAAATATTGTAAAGATTTCATTTCAACTAGTGTGTACCACATGCGATGCACGTGACAGAGATATTAAATGAGTTATTTTCATAGACTCTGTCTGTTTAAGTCTAAAAAGCAATAGAGTTATCATCTATTTTCCACCTCTTCGTTAAATCTAAAAACTAATAGGGTTATAATCTATTTTCCACATCTTTTAATCAGCATTGTGTTTTAGCCAAACATAAATATGAACTTGTTAGGGCTACATTGTAAAATAATTAATATATTATTTCACTAACACATTTATACTAATATAAATTTGATTTTAGTATATATATTTATTCCTTGATATAAGAGAAATAACAGTTTACTTATTCTTATTCACCATATACTATTTAATTATTATTTTATTATAAACTTTGTTGTCATATAATGTCTTTATTATTTATAAAAATTATAGAAGTTGTACGTCTCTTTTTCTTTTTATTTTATGTAATGAAAAATGTTTAGTACATATTATATTATTTATTTATGTAATCAATTTAAAATATGTAAGTAACTTAAAATTAAATAGTGCATAAATATTTTACAAAATATACACACATGTTTTTTGAATTTAACTAGTACGTAACCCGTGCGATGCACGGAGTATATTTATTTAGAAAAATATAGTGTAGTACCCGTGTGTAGTACGGTGGGGTTATTTCCTCAAATCTTTTTATCTAAACTTTATTTAATATTTTTGTTTATAAATTAATAATTTGATTGTAATAGGAAAAAAGGAGAGAGAAATACAAAGTACAAAAAAAAATCATATATTATTAAACACTTCTCTATACACAACATTATTGGTTTGATTTGCTTTCAAACCTTCTTCTCTACAAATTAAAATTTTCAGACCCTTTCTATTAGTAACACGGGAGACAGCGACATATAATTGGCCATGACTAAAAACTGGTTTATTCAAGAATAAGCCAACATGAGATAAGGATTGACCTTGACTCTTGTTTATAGTCATTGCATACGAAACCATAATGGGGAACTGCCTTCTTTGGAATTTGAATAGTACTCTAACATCCGAAGGAGTTATGGTCATTCGAGGTATCAAAACTTTATCACCTGCATGATCGCCAGTACACTCGAGCACATGATTGGAGAGTTTGGTCACAACCAATCGTGTACTATTGCAGAGTCCCATTGAGTGATCCATGTTCCGCAACAACATAACTGGAGTCTCGACCTTTAAATTCAACTCATGATTCGGTGTTCTAGAACACTTGATAGTATTCAAGAACTCAGGAGTATGGAGTTGTGCCAGAAAGTCGGTATTGGAGTCAGATTTACACGCACTGTGTGAGCTTAAATACATGCGTCCTTCAGTCAAATTCAACGACGACATGTATGCATTTATAGATTCTACGATCTCGAGTGTTGGCGCGAGTATAGCCCCATCTTTCAAGTAACTTGGATCATCGGTTGCATTCTTGAATATGTGGTACAATTTATCGTATATCAGTTGTAAACAATATAAAATTACGTTGTATAGAATAATTTAAGAAAATGTATGTTTAAAATATTAAAAACGCTAAAATATTATATAATCGTATTTAAAAGTATCTAAAATTTCTATATCATTATTGAAAGATGTGAAATCACCTAAATTTTTCTAAACTACTTTGTAATGAAAACATGTCTAAAACTATCTAAAAATATGTGAAGTCACCTAAAATTTTTTAAATTATTTTTTAAAGAAAACATGTCTAAAAATATTTAAATTTAACATATGTATATGTAAATGTATATATAGATAGAACGGGTAAAAATTGCTTGTTTAGAACTATATAAAATAATATGAGGTAACATATTACCTCATACTAAATTTGTTGGGAGGAGATGAGAAAATTTACTTAGAATATATAAAATAATTATTGCAATGATGAATTACATAGTATATCTAAAATAGATATTAAGATGATATCGACCATTAGGATGAATTATGACCTAACTTCCGTAACTTTTGCGTAGTTGAGTATAAAAGATTTCAAAAATTAATTTTTGAAGTCTTTATCGTAAAAAGAATTTGGTATGCTTTTTTATCATACGGGTAATTTATCAATTTTACAATTACAAATCAAGATTGATGACAATCAAAAAAATTATATAACAAATAAAATGTGATTTTCTATCTAAAATTTAGTATGTAACTAATGTTTTTTTAAATCTTATTCTCTTTTTATATGTATAGATATAGATATTAAAAATACCTAAAATCATACATATAAAAATATTATATATTATTCTAGAAATATGTGTGAAGTCACCTAAAAAAATTAACCTATTTATGTATAGGTACACCTCCTTAATATAGAGAATGTGTAAAAACAATTATCAATATGTGTGAAGTCACCTAAAAAAATTAACCTATTTATGTATAGATACACCTNCATTGATAGGAAAAATAATGTAAACCACATAAGAATATTAATTTAAAACACATACATGGTCAGACAATAAGACAAAAGTTTGGAAGATTAAAAGGATCTTCAATTGTACGAAACAGAAAAGTGCAAGTTTTGGAAACTAAAAACTACAAAAGGATGATTAATAGCAGTAAGAAAAATTAGGACATTCATTCATTAGATTTTAACATTGAATGTGATCACTTCATTTGGTATAAAAGTGAACTTGCAAACAGAGTCCTCGACAATGCCACTGTCATTGATGAATCTGCGTGCCGCACCATGCTGCAATAGTTTTTCCCATGACCATGTATAATCTCCACTTCATATTTAAAGTCGCCAATTTGCATGATTGCAACATGTGGTATAGTTGCCTTGCGAGCCAGAACTGCATTCGAATTGGTTGCATGAACTGAATATTGTCAGGGGTTTATACAGATACAATTTAAAGAGCACCAAGTATTTAAAATAATTTGTCATTTTAACTCATAACCTACCTGACATTCATAATCTCCAAAAAGGGTCGGTACAAAGATGTGTAAGAACACTATATATGCATAAAGATATCTGACCTCAGAGCGCCTGCTCCATTGTGCACATAAAAAACTAACAATCAAACGATTTGAGTTAGCAACCAATAGCACCAGCTCCAAATCTCAAACTCCGAATCACAAACCAAACAAAACAGAAATCCACAACCTGAAATCTTTTACCAAGACAAGTAACCTCAAAAAGTCAGGTAATGTAGGAAGTCGTGGGTTTTAGAGTTTGAATAAATACCTTATGAGAATAACTCTTCCTTAGTTGAATGAAATTCATAAGAGTCTACAAAAATGGATCAGACCAGGAAACGTAATCTGTTCTTAGATATAAATAAGCAGCTTTGAAACATAGTACAAAATTTTATCAAAGAAACTACCTCCCAGTAGCTCCATTTGCAAGAGAACCTGAACTAAACACCGCGACTATAAAATATCAAAACATATACGACAAAAAAAAAGAAACAGGAGTAAAATCTCACCAAAGCATATATGTTTGATTAAGGAGAGAGACATGCACACAAAATGAGTGAGAGTAGCAGCAAATCTATTATTTTTTTACTACATTACTGCATCGAAACAACACCACCAAACAGTTGGTCAAGCAAGGTGGAGTAGACTATCACCTTGTTACGACCCAATCCATCGAAGCTCAACCTCCAAATCCTCCTCTTGTGCCAGATGATGAGGAAATAAAGTGTAAAGAGATGGTGAAATCAGATGTTCAATGTACTTAATCGATGGTAATGGTAATCAAAACATTAAAATAAGGTCGTGGGCAAGTGCACCATCCGTCACAGATCTAAGATACCGCATCCATCAGTCCGAGCCACTCACTGTCGAATAGGACAGCTCTTACCAATTAAAGATCTAATCCTCTTCAACTTTACGTAAAATAAAGAATGTAAATGGCCACATGCAAATCATTCTCAACAAATCAATTATGTAATCAACAATCGGTTCGGTTCAAGCACAAGGGAAAGTTGAGGGTATATGAACATATAAGATATTACATTCATACAAAAGTCCTACTCGACAATCATAATAGCTGATCCTATGATTTCGTGTTCTAAGGTTAGGTCATATACACCAATGGTCGAAGCAGAAGAAGCATAACTTACATTCATCAAACTCTGTATATTAATAAACTAAATAGCTATTGAGATTTAGATCAATAGTTGATTAGGACTGCTCGAAGTTCTAACCGAGTATAATAGAAATAATGCAAAAGCTCCTCGAAAAGACTATAAATCAAATTAGTTGAGAAAATATTGTTCCAAAAGGTGGTAGCTTTTAACAACAATCTCTTATATAAATGATCTTCTGGCTCGACTAATTTGCTTTTCCGAATAGATAAGTCAAAATGAATCCACATTCAAGCACAAACAAAGCAGATATTATATGTAAACAGGGATGGTTTGACTCCATCCTCAACTCATCAACGCTGCATAATCAAGCTAAGGACAGCACTAAATGCAAACAAATATAGGCACCCACATGAAAAGATCAACAAATTTTATTAAATGCAAACAAATATAGGCACCCATCCTTATTTACATCCTGCACGAACGATGTTGAAGTTATTTGTTCATCATATCCACAAGAACCACAGATACACGCACAAAGCACAGTCGGAATGCGTCAAAATTAGGGCATATGAAGATCAATAACGAATTTTTACCTACAATACAATGATAGATCCGAACATCCTTCAAGGGAGAAGTAGAAACACATGAAGAAAACGATGCGGGCCTCGACCTGCCTTCGAGTCTATCAGCTCCATCACCCATTTCTCCTGCTCCGCCGCCGCCATGAACCCGTCGTAAAAAAAAAAACTGAAAAATATCAAAATAAGTAATCAATTTTAACTGAACTGAAGGATGGAGGCGGATTGTAGCAGCTAGGGTTGCGAAACTCGTCAACCCTAGATGGAGCAAATTCCCGATCTCCCTCGCGATTGAAGCATCCCTGGTGGCGAGCTTTTTTCAATCGAGCTCCTCAATACGCGTGAGCTGCAATTGTCGATTCCAAGCTATGTGCCGTGGCGCCGCCAGTGCTCTCGCCGTGGAGATTCCAACCTGGGAGCCTCTGGAGACGGCCGCCTGCTGCTGGCCGATCTTTGTCCAGCCATCAAACCCTAGGGGAGCGGTGGCGATGTGGTGGCTATGGTGGTGGAGCAAGACTGGATCTTAAAACGAATGCAACGATAGCGTGGGTATTAGTGCGATGCGGCTGATTCTCGAGAGAAAATCAGGAAATTGGACGGCTTGAAACTCCATGGCCGAGGAGCTCGTTTTCGCCGGAGCCCCACCGGGTTAAATTGGTAGATTTTCTAAAAAAATCTTGATATGAACGGTGATGGTATAAAAAATGCTAATGAATAATTATGTAGGAACGTGGATATCTGCAAAGATAAGAGCGTAGCAAAAAAAAAATTATTCTGCTTACCGTTCTTTTTTTAGATTAGGATATCTACAAATAAGTGCCATAAAAATCTGACCAAATCTTATCATCATCACATAATAACTGCACACCATATAAAAGTGCTGAAATCACCCCTATTAAAATTGACATCCAAAATTTCAGAATTCCATGAGCGGGAGTTTGCTCAATTTTCGCTAAAAAAATGCACTGATTACATTAAAAATTTAGGCGGGAACTGAAATCTTTTTTTTCCTGATTTTCCACATGATTTTTTCAAAAAACTATCATTCCCTCTTTATATATTAGTAGATTTTGTATACTAATTAAACAACTTTGATTTAGCAAATGCCAAAAACTCAATCCCTTCTATAATCAAGATTTTTCTAATTTGGATTATAATGATTTATGGTTTATTTAACATACTTTGCAATAAAAATAAATTTTACAAGAATTTCATTATAGAAAGGAATCAAAAAAAAAAAAAAAGGAT